CAGCTAATAAGAACAATGTATAAATATGTCAGCTTGCCATTTTAAATATGTTCTGAAGTTGTTTTGTCCTGTGTTTGTAATTTAAAAAAAAAAAAAAGAGCAGGCAGTATCCCTCCTCTATATAAGCATTAGTTAATAAATACGAAAGGAAATCAAATAAATTAAGCAAATACTCCTAGCAAGCAAGTTAGATCTTATTTCTGCTATTGTTGCTGAAATGTGGCTTTGGCATGGGTGGGTTTCATAAGAATTTTTGCCTTGTTAGTATACATCCGTCTGTTTAGTCATCAGGGTTTGTAGTTCACTTACAGATAAAACACTAAACATCTTTTGCTGGGATGGGATGTCAAATAGTCACAGTGTAAGTACCCGCAAAGTCAAAGCATGTTAATCAGTGCCACACGAAAGGAAGGTTGAGCGTGAAGGCAGTTGACTCAAGGATCATGGGTAGAGCGCCTCCTAAACTTGGGGTGCGAAAGCAGCGGTTCTCATGGCCTGGAGAGAGAGTAGAGTCATCCAAGTCTCCTACAAAGGGCAATGAAGAGAGCGGCAATGGCCTGAGTCATAGACCGAAGTCTGCTGGAGAAGAAAATTACTAGAGGGCAGAGATGGCAAACACCCCCTCCAAACAACGCTGTCAGTATTTACACACGATGGCCGCAGGGATGGCAACCTGGCCTCACTTCCCGGTCCTAAAAGCGAGCTGTGCAGATGTGGATCAGCAGTTGTTGAAAATAAAGTATTAGTACTTTAAAGTCAAACAAAATACAGTGTTTACACATTCTTTAGGGCCTGGGGGGAGTTGAGGGGACTCTGATACAAGAGAGCAAAAGCAGTCATTTCTTTTGTGTTATTTTTTTCTGGTTAGTAATTATTTTCAACAGTACTTAATTACTGTATGTCGTGAGACACTAAAATCAAGAATGAGACTCTCATTTCGTCTGTCATTTGTTGAGATCAGCAGCACAATCACTTGTAGAAACTGTAAAAAAAGTAAAAGTATCTCCCAGTCCCTTAATTTTTTTTTTCACAAATGTTTCTGGCTTTGGAATAGTTTATTTATATTGTATATCATAGTTTCAACTGTAGACAATTATGATGCTAATTTATTGTTCCTCGGGTTTCCCCTTTGTATAAGATAGAGCCAAGACTGAAGAAACCAAATATGTGTTTACTATAGCATGTCTTCAAGTTAGTGGAACATAGTTCAGGGGTATTAGAAGGGTCTTAATGATTAAAACCATCCACTTGATTACTTGTCTGGAAATTCCCATAATCCTTCTGTAGTTTATTTAATATCCATTGTGAATCACATGACTTGTAGGTTTTTCTTGTTTTGAAGTCATCTTAACAAGATGGAATCTTACCTGGTTTTCCTTTCCAAACATTGTAAGTTGTATACCAAAGATATTAGTTTATTACTTCAGTGTGTACAAAGAAGATTATATTATTACATTTATTAATCACCTCTAATACCCATCGTCATGAGGGATGCACATTAGCTATGCTGGGCGTTGACTCTCAGTGTTTTATCTTCATGGTCCAATGAAGGATGGAAAGTCATTAATCAGAGCTCAGATCCAAAGCATTAAATAAAATAGAAGCATGGCAGTTCCTCCCCACTAAAAACCTAGTTGGTTAAAGGCACATGGAAAAGGAAGGCATGTTGATATCAGTGGTTAATGAGAGAGCTCAAGCCTGATGTCAACATGGGTAGAAGCTAAGAGGATGGTTATTTGGAGGGTTTTTAACATTGGAAAAAAATCAATGTTTCCTTATTTTAAATATATTGTACTCCCCGCTGAATATTAAGCCTAAAATTGTCAAATATTGCTATGTTGTTAACCTGGTAGCTTTTACCCCAAGACTGGTTAGAAAGCCAGGCAATAGCCACATCCATGCTGAGGACAGAAGCAGTTAAGCAGGTGTGGGCTAGCATCGGTGGCCCTTTCACAGCTGGCCAGGTGTCCAGTGCCAGTTGGTAGCCAGTTTGTAACTTATCAACGACTGGAGTTGCTAACAAAGGCAGACTCAGGTGGGAAGGTCTTCAGCTGCGCTGGGTTTCCTGTGAACAGACAATCTGTACTGTCTGAATCTGTGGGCTATGGCTCTTCTGCCGCTGCCTGGGACTTGTATCCATGCCGTGTTCAGAGTGTGAAGTTGGTTACTTGTTGACGTTTTCTTACTGTATCAGTGAAATACATATTGTCATGTCAGTTCTTGCCAGGAATTTCTCAATAAAATGGATTTTTTTTCAGTATTTCAATAAATATTGATATGCCCACCTGGTAACTTTTAAAATCCTTTATGTTGTCCTTGTGTTGGATATGAAAGCATCTAGTAATTAAATAACAGCCTGGGAATGGAATCTGAACATTCAATTTGTGCACCATAGTTCCAACATAAAATGAGACATGCCATTTACTGTTTTAAACCGTTGGCACGAAACTCTTAATCTAACTTTTTGTCTACCGAACAATGTCCTAATAACTTTCCAAATTGCCTTTTAAGTTCAGGTCCTCGGGACAGCTTCATTTTAATTAAAGCTCTTTGAACAAGCCAATACACTGGTCAGAGGAGGACTGTGTTGCGTTTTGCAGTTAGCAATGCTGGAATTCATGGTTCTGCTAAGCAAGCCAGGGTTTCTGCGCGATACCTACCCCCGTCCAGTGGGAGCACTTGACAGCCTTTGCAGATTTCTCTCTTAGCAAAGATGCATCAAAGGCAAAGATATGAGAGAAAAACAGGCATCGGTATGTATGTGTCACCTCAGAACCAGGGGCTGGAGGCATGGCTCGATGGTAAAGTACCTGTACGAATGTGAGGACCAAGGTTCAGATGCCCATAACCCAGTAAAAGTCAGACGAGGTATCTTATCTGTAACCCCAGCTACAGGATTCCCAAGACAGGCTAGCTAGCTAAACGAGATTCAGAAAGTGGAAAGCAACAGAAGACACCGGAGCAACCTCAGGCCTTCATTTGCAAACACACAGGCATGCACACCACATGCACATGCAAACACACAGGCATGCACACCACATGCACATGCAAACAGAACATCACCCTCAGAACCCTAAAAGCTGCTATTCCCTGGAGTTTAACCCTAAAAATAAAATGTCTAAAAAGCATTAAAGAAATAGCCCTCCTTCAGTACTGCCCAACTTTTAGAGACATTCAAAGCCAACTGAAACAGCTACAAAAATTCCCTTTGGAAATAAAGCATGTATATAAAGTATTACAAGAGTCACAAACCATTTAATGATAAGACCTCAAAGACTAGCCTTAGCCTCCCCTTTCCACTGAGCTCTTCTCATCCTCCACCAGCTGAGGCAGGCAGAGTGCCCTCGGCCCTGCACCAGGCATTCTAACCTTTATAGGATACTCCAAAAAGTTACCAGTTAGATGTATCCACATGTGCACATTCACAGCATGGAACTGAGATTTTAAGCTACTAGACTGTTGTACAAATCCCTCGTCCCCTGTCAACCCCCAGGGGGGGAAAAACCTAAATGATTCTTGGCATATCCAAAAAAATGCAAATATGTTCATGTTTAATTGAACTGTGACTTACAACTTTCTTACATATTTGCACCCAGGTTATCACCCAGATCAGCTGAGGTGAGAACATCGGGGGTTTTTAATGTTTTTTTAAAAGCAGGAGAGTTTCTCCAGAGACTATTGGCAGCTGGCAGAGGTCATTCTGACAGAGCCAAGGGGGCCCAACTTCCACTCTTAGAATAACACACACCAAGTTGCTAAATCTGCTGCAGCCCAAGGCGCCCAAAGGCTGGAAAATGACTCATACCAATGGGCGCTTGGTTGTTCTGTAGGATATTCAAAATAACTTTGAGGGGGTTTGTACCTTTAACTAAGTTTGACGTTCGGTTTGAAGCCATCTCTGATGTATATTTTTATGAGAACCATGTGGAGACTTTGTTCACCAGAACACAGGTCAGAAAGCTACAACACTTAGTGATCTTGACATTTCCCTGGAATAATACAGACCAATTTTCCTTAGTGCTGAACAGGAAGTGTACAGTTTAGTCACTCAAAATAAATATTCTTGAAGAAATCTAACTGCTTCACGTAAGCATTTGTTTTAGGTTAAGTTGGGAATTAATAATGTGGTGAGTGGTGTCGGGCGATGCTTGTGGTTTTGTTTGAAGAAGAGCCTTCCCTGTTTGCTGCTAAGAAATGGAGGGTGGCAAAGGGGGGGCGTTATGATTAGACTAACTGCTGGGCTTGAAGCTGAACCATGGAGAACCCAGTAGGATGCAGAGAACTGGACTCTACCTGTTCCATCTCGCAGATCGAAGGCTGCATCAGGAGCTTCGACTACTCCCCAGCCAAGCTCCCAGCTACCTATAGCAAGTCAGGTTGCAGATTCTCACTAAGACCCTGTTAGTTGAAAATAACCAAGGAGCGTCACCAAATGAGGTATAGACACGTAGTCAGTTGTCTTAGCTCATCAACTTGAGAGACGATCACCCGTGTACGAGCCAGTACCGTCCCCCGTCCTCTGTGGTCTGGGACATCCCTCTGAGGGTGAAGACCAGCTCCGTTAGCCATGGCCAGGCTGGCTAGAGCTTCCCTGCACTCCTGCACCAGGAGCTGAAGCCCCGCCAGGTTTCTCAGCCACAGTCCTCTGCTCCGCTTCAGTGCCCCTTCCGGCCTGAATTTATGCGACAGATCCCCGGCTAGACTCCTGCTGTTAGTCCGTCCATTCTCAACCTCACTCCGTCCAGCAGCCAGCCCAATAGGTTCGCCCCAATACAAACTTCCCTCACTAGGGTCAAGGCCTTTCTTGACTGGGCCACTCCTTGCCTCCAAGTCTAGCCTTCCCATCCCCACCCAGCCCCAGCCACAGAGAACCATGGCTGCTCTGCCCATGCGCAGGCTGGTCTGTCTTGCTTCTGTGCCCTTGCACGCTCTTCCCCATGGCAGGTGAACTCCAACCAGACACAGACCTCTGTCCCCATCTGGTGCGACTTACCTGAGACCCACACCTCTGTGAAATACGTCCTCGTCGCGTGTTTGTTTGCCATACCTGACCCCTGCCCTCACCTAAAAATAAAAAAATAAAAATAAACAGGCACATCAGGGCAAGTGCAGTGACTCAGTTATTTCTAAGCCTCTGGCTCAGTGCAGACATTGAGAGATCCATCCCATAATTTCCACACAAAAGAAATTAAAGCTCCCACAGACCCACAGACCATCACAGTAATCCTTGGGCTAGTTTTCTAAGACTTAAAATGCCAGTGATAATTAACAAGAAAAGATGAGGGTGGTCTCTGGTATTTGTTGTTTGTGGCCTTTCTCTGGGAGGGGGTGACTCAGACTTTTTTTTATAGATTCCAGCCTGTGATCAATGGGCCCCATTGTTTCTCACCGGTGGAGAGACGATACCTTATGGCAGAAGCACCTGATGAGGCAACTGTTCACCTCGTGGCCAAGAAGCAAAACAGATAGGAAGAAGCCGGGGGCTCACAGTTCTCTTCAGGAAGCTGGGGGGGCACCCGCAAGGCCCCACCTCCTAAAATTCCCATCACCCCAAGGACCAAGATTTTAGCCCATAGGTCTTTAGGAGACATTCAGTATCCTAACTACAGCAGTCCTCGTTTGCCTCAACTTGGACAGTGCACATCTTAGTGGAACACAGACCCATCGGAGACGCCCATGTGCCCCAAACCTCATATCACAAGGGTATTTCCTATCCTCTCAAGGGCGATTTTACTCCTGTTGCTAACTGATGTACGACTTGTCCTGGGAAGACACGAGGGAACACAGACCAAAGAAACAATCCTGCCGTAGTCTGCGGGAGAACCGGTGAGTTTACTGGGGTGACAGAAGCCTGGGTGGCTCACAGGCAGCAACATCACTTTGAAGTCCCTCTTACTTTGTGAGACTACCCGCTCTCAAAGCTGCATTCTTGGAGTTCCCTGGCCAACTGGCAGTCAGCTCTATCTAGCTCCTTTGGGAAGGAGTGTAGCTGGAGTTTTCTCTAGTCCAGCTCAGGCCCGAGGTCAGGACAAATCTCTCTCACCCGCCAGTCCTGCAGCTGCTTGGACCCAAGTAAACACATGGAGACTTATATTACTTATAAACTGTATGGCTGTGGCAGGCTTTTTGTTATCTAGTTCTTAAATCTTAAATTAACCCATTTCAATTAATCTGTAAGTTGCCACGTGGCCTGTGGCTTACTGGTACTTCCTCTGTCTCTGGCTGGTGACTCCTGACTCAGCCTTCCTCTTCCCAGAATTCTCTTCTCTGCTTGTTCCTCCTACACTTCTTGCCTGGCTACTGGCCAATCAGCACTTTATTAACCAATCAGAGCAACACATTCACAGCATACAGATATCCACAGCAAAGGAGGGTTTGTCATTTCCAGAACTTACGACCAATAAGTTTCAAGCTGCCTCCCTCCCTCCAAGAGAGAATTATTTCAGTGTGAGAGATCCAACCAGGCCCTGCTTCCACTTTACCTATTGCTGTGATAAAATAGCCTAATGAATAAGCAACTTATGGGCGAAACCATCACTGCAGGGACATGAAGCAGCTGGTCCCATTACATCCACAGTCAAGAGCAGAGAAACAAATGCATGCACATTGCTTAGCTGGACACTCTCACTTAGTCCAGGGCCCAAACTCAGGCAATATTGCTGCCCATTTTCAGAGCAGGCTTTCCCACATCAATGAAGGCAATCATAACAATCCTCCACAGGCCAACCTTGCTTAGAAAATCCCTCACTGAAACTCTCTTCCCAGTGATTCCAGGCTGTGTCAAATTGACAGTTAAAACTAACCATCACATGCCTACACAACATGAGTCCAAGGAACTAGGCAGTGAAAATAACATTCTCTTTACAGAAAACGGCCTACCATCTGAAGAAGGAGATATGAGAGAGACTAGAATTATATTGTGTGACCCCAGAGAGGAGAAACCTGTCTGAGGAAGATAGGCAGGTGCTGCCATGAAAGATCACATACAATGCAAAAATTAAAACAAAAATTGCTAACCACCAAAGGGGTCCAAAACTTAGGCCACCTGTACTAGAGGCCGAGATCTTCCAGAAACTGTTCCACTCAAGGCCAGACAGGACAACAGTGATGAGAATGTGATGCTGCGGGGTGGCTAGCCAACACTTGACCCCCCGAACCTGGCAGTGCCCAATTCCAACATGGCCAGACAAATAGCTTAGCCAACACTTTAAGAAGAACCTTAGCTGGGCGGTGGTGGTGCACACCTTTAATCCCAGCACTCGGGAGGCAGAGCCAGCTGGATCTCTGTGAGTTTGAGGCCAGCCTGGTCTACAGAGCAAGTCCAGGACAGGCACCAAAAACTACACAGAGAAACCCTGTCTCAAAAAAATTAAAAAAAAAAAAAAAAAGAATCTTCCCCTCCCACCTCCAGGGACAACCTGCCTGTACCTTTCAAGTTTGCTAGAGTGGTGCTATGTCGAGAGTTGAACCAGCTAACGAATCCCCGAAGCTCCTTTCAGTATGTCTAACAGAGGAGAAAAGTCACAGCCTGTGAGACACAGGCTGATTCAGCCTCACACATAGGCAACAGTTAACATTCTGGAAAAGAAACTGTGTCTACTCTTTGAGAAGCTCTACCTAGGCTTTCCAAGCCCTTCTCCGTGGAGTTAGAGATGGCCCTCAGTGATGGAGTACTCACCTGGCACACGTGATGCCCTGACGTGGATCCCCAGGACTGTAAGCAAAACCTGCTTCTCTGGCTTCTGTTGTCTGAGGAGAGGTTGGCCACCCTTCTGGTCCTCTCCTCATACCTAGTCTGAAAGGTCGAAAATATCTACTCAAGCACGAAGGGCTGAGTTTAGATGCCCAACACCCACATAAAAGCTGGACATGGGAATGTGCATCTATCATCCCAGCATGGATGGGAACAGGGATAAGTAGATCCTGGAGGTGAACCAGCTAACCTCTCCAGCTGCAATGAGCTTCTTATTTAGTGAAGAGATCCAGTCTCAAAAGATGAGGTGGAAAATGATAAGGATAGCCCAAGTCAACCCCTGTTCTATACACATGTGTGTGAATGTACCTCCCTCATACACACGTGCACACACACACATGCATACAAGCACCACACACACACAAGCATTCATAAATGCACCCCCTTCACACACACACACACACACACACACACACACACACACACACACACACACACACATACGTACATGCATGCACCACAGACGTGACCATGGTTGATGAGGTCACGATACTTGCTCTCCCAGCCCTTCCTCCTAGTTCCCATATTACGAAA